CCGACCCGCGTGCGACTACGTGGGAGCCCAGCGACATAGCCATTACGCTAACTGCTGGTTCCCGACAGGTTTTTCTTTTTTTAAAAACTTTTTTTTTAAGAATTTTTTTTTTTAATTTTTAACTTATTTATTTATTTATTTTAATTTGACTAGAGAGAGAGACAGAAAGAGAAAGAAGTGAGAAAGCAAGCCACCAGGTCCAAGACTTGAACCGTGGTCACCCATGTGGGAGTGTCCAATGCCTTAACCACCACTCCTGGGATTACTTAGCCCACCTACAGGTAGATAGGGTAGAAGGCTGGATTTGTCCCCCTGGGTTTAAATCTTCGTTCAGTCCCTTATTGAGGTTATCTGATCTCTCTACGTTGTTATTTATGGTTAAAGGGGTGGAGGCAGATAAAACCCACCTCCTAGGGTGGTTGTGTGAATAAAAGTGACTCACACAAAGTGTTTACAATGTCTGGAGCTGTAGGTGTGCGAAATGTCAGCAGTAACAATAGGTTCTTTGAGTCTTGTAAGCTTGGAATTCCACAGCCTTGCAGTGTCCAGGAGCGCCCTATACCGAACTCCGCACCTAGGAGCACCAGCTCTGGCTTAGCTCCAAACGCTCGCGTGCCTTTTGGCAAGTCCCTCCCCGCTCTAGCCAATGCCCATCTAGGCACAAGAATGGTCTCCGCACTCGCCTCGGCGCAGACATTCTGCATATAAGGTGGGCCCAGACTTGGGCCCGGTGCCTCTGGTTGGGGGAATGCTGCAAGGGCCTGCACAGATGGAGGACCGAGGGGCTCAGGAAGGGAGGTCGGGACCGGAATGGCTCGGAGGCTAGGACGCAGTGCCTGAGGCGGGAAGGCCGCAGCAGCAGCGGAAAGGCTAGCCAGGCGCCAGGGATCCCCGCAGCCACCCCGCGGGATCTGAAGTCCCTCGGAACCCGCGGTGGCTGTTTACCTCGCTCCGCCCCACCCCCGGGGGCCGCGGCCCGCCGAGCGCGCAGCGCGATTGGGCGAGCTGCCTGGCCGTCGCGCGG